GGAGGAGGGGCCATAACCCTCCACGCTGGTCCAATGTTGATTAGAATGTATTAACGACTTCATATGCAGCCAGGACCAATGGCTTAGCGTGCCTTCCGAAACACGCAGTAGCTATAAATAGTAGCTAGAGATATTTTTTTTTGTCACCCATCCGGTGACCGACCCTTGGAGTTGCTTAACAACAACGATCGCGGGGTGCTGCGCTTATCCACTACGCCACCGAGCTACTCAATGTTTCTATCTAGTTCTAATATTGTGTTCCAAAACTAGTGATGTACCTTTACAAATAATTGTAGAATAGATAATATAAACCAAAGAGGTCAACGTCTACGCAGGTCTGTTTTTTATATTAAAACATAAGATGGAAACCAGAGGGCTCTTCCCTAAACACGAATGTTTGGAATGGCTGGCATAGTTTTACTCTCTCGCGTTCCCTTTGTATTGTTTTTTACATGTTTTTTGTTGCGAAATTTCGAGGACCTTAATGGAATTTTAACATTATATTACTTAATATGTAGGTACGGCTTTCATTATACATATTTAGTTTTATTAATTATTTTTTTATTAGTTCGTTGAGATATCAAAGAAGTTCTTGTAAAACGGAAACTTCAGAAACGTAAGAAAAAATATAACCTATCCGAATATAGCCTATCCGAAATATGATGAACCGATTGCAAATAACTTTAAAGACAACATCATCAGCCCTTTTATGTCCCCACTGCGGGGGCTTGTCCTGGGCGTTCTTTATGGCCTAATGTGGAGGGTATTGACAGCTGCATATGCAATCGGGTACAACGGTTTAACGTGCCTTCCGAAGCACGGAGTAGCTCGAGATAATATTTTGGTCATTAAATAAAATAATAAATTATATTCAATTATAAGAGTGATGAATTAAGTATGAAGCACACCCGTCAAGTTGGATTTATTTTCTTAAAAATACTTGTAATGTTTATACTCTAACTTTTCAATACATAACTTTTCAATTTGTTGATGACCCTTGCAATGGAGTTTTTATTTAATTTTTAAGTTTGAAAATCACTTATAATTATGCAAAAAGTTAAAGCTTCTACAGAGTTTCGCTGTAACTTCTGAAAATGACATTTTAAGTTCACATTGATGTGTTTGCTATATTATCTTACCTTGTGTTTCAGTAGTCGTCAGCGCTCCGGAGACAGCAGCCTCATGTCGAAGCGAAGCATGTGCGTCATGTTGAGCGAGCGGCGCCGGCGGTCGGGTCCCGACTGAGCGGTTACAAGCGAAGCGAGCGGAGGCGGGGCCTGACACGCCCAACCACCAACAAGTGAACGTTGGCCATAGGAGTGGTCTACACAGGCTGATCATCATATGGACCATTTGATGGCCATTATTTTATATAAGTTCCAATTGTTGTTATTTGTCAATCAGCAATTATGTCGCTTAATTAATATTAAAATACAGCATATTATTATTTTATAATGTAGCGCCATATTTTGAAAATTAGTCTTTTCTTATATCGGATAAAAAAATATCAAATTTTTTTGTTCCTTATAATATTAAGCGTTGATATCATTATAAAGAAATATGTAACACATTGATAAAAAAAATCTAACAGCGGTCTCTTTTGTTTGATTTAAGCGTAAGTTTTGAATAGAATAAAATCATTTTTTTTTCAAGCGTCTATAGAAGGCTCGTCATGCCGGTTGGCACAGAGATCTGCCTTTTAACTTATTGATACAATTGTTGACATAAAAGAATTTAAATAAATGAATGACTCTTCATACATAATCATGATAAATTCTATCCATGTGATTTCCAGGATTAAAAAAGTACTTTATCCTTTCGAGAGTTTCGTTGGTATGAGATATAAATTAAATTACAAATGTCATTTACGTCATGGTCTAAACGTGTAAAGTAACAAATAGAGTTATCGCCTCTACATTATGTGGAAGGATATTGTCGATTGGCACAACTCTATGTTGAAGAAAAAACTTGAGCGCGTCTGTCCTAAGCTTTACCAAACCTCGTGCAGATAAATAAACATATCTTTATCCAGTAGCCAGCCACGCCTACTGTCTGTGTGATCTTCGCAGATTTGACCAATCATTCCGAATGCCCGGGATCGATTCCCTGATTAAGCGCCCGGTGCTGGGTAAGTGATCTGGAATAAAACCACTTGTTGGATTGCGTTAGTAAAAAGGATTCCAGTGTTGTTGATCACCTCATTTCGATTTCTTATTTGTTATTTGAAAAAGGTTCTGTATTCGAAAAAGAAAAGGCAACTTCAAATATTCTAAATATTCTTATCAACTACAAATGTGGTTAAAAACAAGAAGATTCTCTTGTATTCGGGTAAATGTTTTCTTGTCTTTTACCGACATACTTCAAATTGAGGGAATTCGTTTGTAAACGATATGTTTTGTTGGAAAATTCTGGGGTAAATGACATAGTTGCCGTCAAATCAAATAGTAATATTTTTTGATCTATATTTCATAAGAAAGATTTGATTGTTTTTTTGTTTGCATGTTTGTTTGTTTACATTAAATGTGCTCCAAAAATACTGGACCAATTTTAAAAATCCTTTCACTTACGCGGGCTAAGTCGGTGAAGGGAGTAGATAGTTAGTCTTTTATAAAAAGAGAGGTATATGAGAATGAATCATGAAAGGTCCTAGTGAACATACTAACAGAGATAAAACAAATATTATAATTATGATTCAGTGGTAGTGTTACATTGTAGATAAAGCCCGCATGGCTGCCGTCCTCGCGTATCATATCGATGGGACGATCTCCTTGGTGCAATGGTACGCACGTCAGTTTCATGGTAATCTAACATATCAGGAGGTTTTTTGATGTCATCTCCGAGATTTCTGATTCCGTTCAGTTCCGACAACTTTTCTCTATTGTCTCGAGTCTGAGTGTTGTGGTACCATTGTTGTTTTGAATTTCCGTAATGCTTAAAAAGCTGTCTGAGAAATCTGTGATATTAGCCATATTGCCTTATATTTATTTATTTATTGTATCTGTATAATATGTCTTTTATAATAAAATAAGGTTTAATATTTAACTTCTCGCGAGATCTCGGTATTTGCGGGACCCCGCATATTGCAAATATTCATATTTATATAAGGCAAATAAAACAATAAATTAATCAACTAACTCTACATTTATTTAAGTATTAATTACTATTAGTATGAGATCAATCAAATTACACTTTCGTTTATTCTTTGCAAAAAACAGTAACAATAACCGAAAAAAAAAACTATCTTCAAAAATACACCAACAAAATTAAAAATAATCAACTAAAAAAAAACACATTTTCAACTGAAATTGATATACCTACGTTACTTTAATTATTTAGTTTGTCAGCTAAAGCTTTCAATTGAAAATGTTTGCGAAGGAAAAACAACATATTTAAACTGTAGAGCAGGTCATCGTCACTTTGTTGTTTTTTTTTATAAACAACGTTTAATATTCCAAGTTGCAACCCATGGGCATAGCACAGTTGTTGAAATGCTGGAATCAAACTACCGGTTTTAACCATAACCGAGGCTCCGTCAGTTGTAATTGTAATAACATCTTTGTCTAAATCAAGGTCAAATTCCTTCATTATCTTTTTTAAGGTTTCTACGCAAACTGCACGCTTTTTTTCAGTCCCGCAAACACCGCGGATCCCGCGCCTGTAATCCCGCATCACGCGGGATGGTTAAAAGACGCGAGATCCCGCAATACCGAGATCTCATTATTACGGGATTGGAAGCCCTAGAAGAAAGTTCATTCTATCTGTGTTCCAAATTTGATTAAAGTTGGTTCAGTTTTTGGTTGGTTGTTAGATATGAAAACGTAACAGACATACAGACAGAGCTAATTTATTCGTTTATTTATATGAGTATGGAAGTTTAAATCCAAACTTAAAATTGAATTCAATAAAATTATATTTTTTACTGTTATTTGCAAAAGATCTTTTAATTTGTTTTGACATCAAAAAGTGATGTAAAATAACTATAATTGGCAAACAATAACATAATTAAAATGACCTACAGTGTCCAAGTTTACTACAACTGTATCAAACATGACGTTAGTTGCTCAAACGCCCATTAAAGTTTTAATACGCCTTTAAGCACTAATGAATGTCAAATTATGTATGTAATATTTAATTTAATGTTAAATATTATATCTAATATTAAACAACATCACGCACATTGCTCAGATTCCAAGATGAGTAGCTAAAGCCCCCGTATTATGGAGTATCTGAGACAACGAAGGTACCACAACACCCAGACCCGAGTCAATATAGAAAAGTTCATTTTCTACATTGACCCGACCGGGAATCGAGCTCGGGACCTCAGAGACACCTTGAAAGCGGCGTGTGAACCACTCGGCTATGGAGGTCGTCAATGTCGCTTTAAACTAATGAACATTTTAATGGACGTTTGTGCAACTGGCTGATAATGTGACGGTCGCGAAAGGTAAGCAAATTATATTCATTCTATATCATATTCGTCCATGATGTCGGGTCTATAAAAAAAATCTTTCTTTCAAGATATCAGAAATTATAATTTTACAATGTTTAGTATATGGGATTTGTTTTTATTAGTAGACGATAAACGTTGATTATTGAACCAAAACAATATTAGAGAAAGGAGTTGAAATAATTTATTGTATTCGAGCCGTGCATGTTGTTCAAGTTAATAACTTAATTTGCATTTCGCGTAATACAAAGTAAAAGCAGTAATTATTAGTGCGCTATTATGGTACATCTACATCAACATTTTGTTAGCATTCATTAAATATATTATTTTATGGTAATTTAAGTACTTTTCTATAAGACGTTTTTATTAACAGGTTTATGTAAAGAATTTCTACCAAAAATTTAATGTTTGGTGCTAGTAAAATTTTGTTTTTTAAGTTTGGAATAACGAGGAATTATAAGACCAAACATAGCGTGTTATAAATGCAACTTATTATATATTAATTCTTATTATATATTTCAGCTTAATCATAAATATCATTATAAAAATTAATTGAATTTAGAGGTAGACGAACTTTAGGAGTAACACTTTTCTTGTATATGTTTAGTTTCAGTCTAGTGTGACCAATTCTATTCTGTTATAAAAACAACCTCGAACTCGACGTCGACAAGAGCGCCCTTAAAGCATAAATGTTCAAATAACATCTACTTCAAAGATAATATAGGATTTGTTTCATTGGAAAGTGGAAAGCTTCTTAATAAAATAGGATAACAGTAAGAAAAATTGTTTGTCGGCCCTGTTCAAATTAATAATTAACGCTGTGTTGTATTATTTGAATTGTTGATACAAGATTTTAACAGCAGTAGTCTGAAAGTGCGCAAAATTACACAGACTTCTCAAAGAAATAAAAAAAATATATCTTTATAATATAGACACAGATTTGAAATAAGAATAAATATAAAATAACCAATAATTATGTTTATAAGTAATATTAATGCATCAATTGGTTTTTCTTTGACTGCCTTGCGGTTGGTTGGTTTCTGGTCGCCGGAGAATATGATGGGAAAACAAAGAATTCTCTACAACTGCTATGGTTTCATGTGGTTTATGTTTCTATTAGGTATTTACATAATCATTGCCAATAGAGTAATCAGAAATCTTGAAATAAACGTTCAAAAGTTATTTTACTTACCATATTTTTTATGTGTCAAATCTTTGAAATTACAACTGTACTTTTTTTTATTTACAATAACTAGTAACGAAAATAATTTTGAGTAGCTTACATAATTAGTTAGTTAAGATGATCATTAATATAATGGAAAGTAAATGCGAAGTTTACCGAAGTCACGTTTTGATTTAGAATTTCTCCGCGTAAATAATATCATACTCCATACACTCGCGTGTGATGTAGCTTATTATTGGTGAAAGAATTTTCATTGATGGGATCGATATTTCCGCAGACGACCCTTTACAAACAAACAAACAAAATTAGAAACTTTATAGCTTTAAAAATAACATGGTTAATATTAGTTTGTATCATACATATACAACCATATTCATTTGCAGGTAATAACATCATATTACAGTTTGTGGAAATGTATTGTGTGTGGGGAAATCTACCGCTGATGACAGCGGTCTCGTATATTTTGTTTACTAACTTGGTACATACGTTAAAAATCGCTACTATATTGTACTATGGGGAAATGATAAGGAGTGTGATTCATGAAGGCGATGAAGAAATGAGAGGTGCTGCTGATTCTGAAGAAGGGAAAGTCATAGTGCAAAGGTCAATGCATTTTCTGTTGAAGCTCTTCAAAGGAATCAGATATATATTGATAATTATCATCATCAGCCCTATTAACGCTCCCACTGCAGGGGCTCAGGCTTTCCTTATGGGTGGTTTGTGAGGATGGGCCATAGCCCTCCACGCTGGCCCAATGCGGGTTAGAGGGTATTAACGACTGTCTATATAGCCGGGGCCAACGGCTTATGCCCTCCGAAGCTCGGAATAGCTCGAGATAATAATATATTTTGTCACTTATCCCGTGACCAACCCTATCGAAAATTATCGAAATCTCAATGACAACGAATGCGGGCCGCGGCCCTTATCCTCTATGCCACCAAGCTACTATATGATAATACACATAACGAACACAAACATGATTGTAATATAGTTATTTTCGAGGCCCATTCTGTTGATGAGATGTTAGATCTTTTGTTATAATATAGTTAGGAGCTCGATTGCGAACCGCTTTCGTAAGTATAGACCACGCAGTAAAACAACAGTTCCTTGCTGGTTTACACCATCCTCGGTCAGATAGTTGAAAGAAAAGAAAATAAATACTGTATCAGATTACTTAAGTATAACAATAACCCTTGTGATGTTTTAACGTTTAAACTTCTCAGAAAAAAACTGATTCACTCTTAACTGCTTCTTATGCTAAGTACTTACCTAAAGTAAGATTACTCTTTAATTTATATTAATTTATAGTATGAGCCTTTATGGGGAATAAACGCAAAGGTAACACGACTACTATCCCTTCGAAAATGAACAATGGTTCTCACACTGCTTCTAATGAACCTGATATTTGGGGCCTGATATTTGTAATCTTTTGTTTTCTCTAGGAATAAAACGCCTTTTCGTGCAACTACATCAGCTCTTTGGCGTTTGCTACGTAAGATGTTTATAAGGTTTTTTCTCACTAAAGCCCTAGATCTTGGTAATTCTATCGACACACGGCCTTCAAATCACGGTCTTTACAATCGCTATCATACTCATCAGGAAGCTTGAGGTAGCGGGTATATCAGGGGCTCTTTTGTCTTGGTGTGAATCTTATTTAGAAAACCGCCGTCCTCAAAGGATATATATACATCAACGTTTTTTCGGCATCATCGGACGTTCCCCAGGGCTCTCATTCGGGACCTATATATTTTAATATCTTCTTGAATGATATTCAGTTATGTTCTCAATTTTCAAAATATTACTTGTATGCTGACGATCTCAAACTCTTTAGGCCCGTTAAAATAGCTTAGTTACTTGGTGTAACAAAACGGCATGGATCTGAAAGTAAACAAATGTTTCGTGGTCAGGTTTACAAGAAAAGTGCAAACAGTGCACAGGTCATACAACATAAATAGCAATGCATTATCTGAGGTCGACCGGATTCGTGACTTAGGTGTTGTTTTACATACAAAACTACGATTTCATATAACGTACACACGTACATAACATAGTAAAGAAAGTCACGTCAAGGTCACTACTCGCCGATGAATATATTAGTAATAACCGACAATAATTTGTACAAAAATGTCGCACGAAATTATTCACTCAAATCCAAAAGTAAAATTTCGGTCTATAATCAATCTTTTGTTAACATTGACATTTTCTCAAATTTTCTTATTATATTTAAGATTAATATTAAGTAGTTACTTAACTGCATGCTTTAACTTTGTTATTATATTTAATGTTATTGTATGTAATTTATGAAAGTTTTGTATAATTATGTTTTTTGCCTGATGTCATATTAAATTGAATTTTGTAACAATGACGTATAATTATTAATTATTCATTAGTGCCAATTTAATATTTAAAACACTTACATAAATATTTATTAATTAAAATTTGTTATGTATATTTTTTTTCGATTTGCAACTTTCATTTTATTTTGACAATTTTTTTTTATTTTATTTGAAATTGACGTGCAACTTAAATATAATCTCAACTGCATTTCTACAATTTTAAACATATGTACAATTATTTTTCTGTTGGATAATTTAATTTGTGAATGATTTATTGTTTCATTTCTAATGTGTGTGATACACATTAATTAAGATTGCATTTATAATGATTATCTTTAATATGTAGTAACGTGAATAAGTTAATGTAAATCTTGTTGGTGTTTATGAATAATTAAATAAATAGCACTTGTAGAAGGTATAAAGATTTTGTTACAAGAGGATGTTCCTAAAGCGTGTGTTAATTGCAAGTATGTATATGTGCGGAATTCGCGTGTCTTATTTGCACAGCTCATGCATATTGCTAGGTAGCTTTGGGGCTCACCACATTGTTGCTTGCACAGGGCACATAATGTACTATTAATGTCCTGGATTTATTAATAAACCTGGTATTTTTTAGGAGCGTTGCATTTCGGTATGGGTTCACAGTCAGTGGCACAAACGTCCACTAAGGTTTAATAATGCTTTTAAGCTCTAATAAATGTAAAAGTATGGGTAATGTCGTTTGATACTAATGATAATTTTAATGAACGTTCTTGCAACTTGTTGTTAGAGTTCAAAATAGTTTCGGTTTTTGCTCAAAATGTTAGTTACTCCGCCCATCTATCTTATATTTATATCTTCGCAATCTCAAGACACTTTTGTCACTATTTGTTAATGAAAAGCAATAACTTGTTATTAAAAAAATGAGATTAATGACGTCCAAACAGTTTTTGAAAAACCTGGGTATATAATAAACTTTAGAAATGGGTTTATCCAAAACGTTTGCAAGCCCTGATTAATGTATACGGATGATATTGAATTGAATATATCTTACTCGGTGGATCTAATGCGGATTGTTAAGTGTTGATGACTGTAGATGCAACTGAAACAAATGGCTTAAGGTGTCTTTGAAGCAAGAAGGAGCATGAGACGATCAGATCAGTCATCAGTCACTCATCTCATGACTAGATGAGACAGACGCGAGTTCAGAGACTTTTTAGGCTAGATTGCTCCACGATCAATTAAAGATGAAGTTCACTTTTAAAAATCGCATCTAATATCCGGTATTATAAGTTTTTAATGATGTTTAGGTTTATGTCAAATTTGACAATAACTATCAAGCTGTCTTTAACATTGACCGTGGAATGCGTTGCACATTCTTTTTCTGAATATTTGTTAAAGTTAACAGTTAAGTTATGACGTCATCTCATCATTGCCAACTGCTGCAACTCATTTTGCTTATTTTGTACTTTAACATGTTTGTTACTGTTAAAGTAATTTGGTGCAAGCAAACCTAATTTTATTAATTGTTATATTGATATTTGTCTTATGGAATAAGATGGATTAGTTTTTTCTTTAGATGCAACAGGGAGACAGCCTTGCACGTTATTATCTACTGCTGTGTGAGTGCTGCTACTCTAGTTTGTTGGACTAACAGCGCTGAGAAGGGCCAATTACCTTTGAGGGTTTGGTGAGTAATTCAAAGTACTAATTCATGTGTATTCATGAAGCTTTATTGTGTGTGCTACTACAAAAAGCATGTGTCGGTGACGATAAATAAATAAAATCCATTTAGTAGGGATGATGACTAATTTTTGTTTATTTGTCCGTCAGGTAGAGTGTTTAAAAATATTAAATAAGTATTTTTTTCGTAATCATTAAATTACGGCGTTACATGGAGTTGAAATTTCGCATGACGTCACGTTAGGGTACGTTTTCTACTCAACTGTGACGTAGCGAGCCCCCACTCCTCAACTTTAATGCTGTTATCTAAGCTATTTCTTGTTAAATTGAAGTAAAAAAAAATACGTGTCTAATATTTTTCTATTATCTGACTGACGGACTAAATAGAATTGCATTTTTTTACCCAGTCATCATCCCTATTAGGGGAAATAAAAATTTATTACAACATAGTCACATTTAGACGATTTTTTCTTGTCCCAACACGGTTCAATAGCATATGCTGATGTTGTGATCAGCGCCGATCTTCTGCTGGAACCGATCTGGTGAAAACACAAACAGTAACGCATTTTAAGTCACGAGTAATTCTACCACATTAGCTCTTTGATGAAACTATTTGAAAACGCATACTAACACATTGCAAAAACAAAGGAAATAAACAGTTACACTCTTTTACTAAACAGAAACTGGCTTCACTTAGGTTCTCGCGTGTCTTATTAGTTTTGGTACCTACATTATTTCAGAATAGACAAATCTCTGGAATATTTTTTAACGTTACAACTGAAATATATTAATTCACCTACCTAAGCTATACATATAACTAAAACTATACTGGATAAAAAATATCTCCAAATTATAACCGACAGATAATGTGCTAAAAGCAATTAATTCCTCTTAATTCGCTGGAGGTACAAACCAGCTTTCAGATCACCAGCCTTATCATAGAGTTCCAATTCTAATTGTCCATCCAGGTATCCATATGACGTCGGTAAGAGTCCAGCCTACCAAATTACTTACGTATATCAAATGGTAGCTCTTAGTATTTGCGCTCTGTTGAATATAAGCAAGGACACGCTGGTCACCAGCCTGATGGCGCAGTGCTGCTGCAGGCTTCAGTTATTGGGGCTTTCTCTGAGGACTGTGTGCCGTGGGATCCCTATTACTGAGGTTTAAAAGGATTTCTATGTTTTATTTTTAATACAACATTATATAGCAAAATTTACGTCTTCGTTGAAAATTAATAATAATAATAATCAATGAGTGATAATAATGTTGTCCAATTTAAATAACATTGTATGAAATAATTCATCTTCTTGTATGGGGATTATTCGCGGCTTCGCATTTTTGTCGGCAATATTTATATGAGTATTATATAAATATTAGGTCCTTACATATGAAATTGGTGTTTGGTATGGGAGGAACATAAAGTCGAATATTTTTTAATGTAATATGTTTATTATATTAAAAAATACCATTGTGGAATTCGTACTCGTAAATAACACTATTTTTCAAGTTTTTCATTTTTTATGCTGTGTGACGTAAGTAGGACAAACAGAAGAAAAAATCAAAAATCAAAATAATTTATTCAGTCTAGGCTGTTACAAGCACTTGTGAAAGTCGAGAGCTACGCCAACGGTTCGTAAATCTACGGCGGGAGACCTTGTACCGAGAAAAACCGGCAAGAAACTCGGCAAGGGCTGCTTTTTTCTCCCTGTTTTATTTCATACAGAGCGTCAAGATTGAAAAATGACTTCATTAAAATTTGAAGTCAC